GGATGAGTCACTTGAATATGACGAATGCTGGCAATCTCACAGCACAGTCGAATATACGTATAAACAATTGATATGCGCGGCATGGAGGAGTACGATGCAAGGATAAAATATGACGAGCAGACGCGAATGTATATATATAGAGCGTAGAGTATAGGGCTGTCGCGAAAGATACAGCACTGGCGCTCGAAGAAAGTCGTTTCCCCGAGAGTCGTGTGAAGCTGTTTGCCTGTGGTGCTCGCCGACTGCTCCGTGTATCACGGCTCTCTGACCCAGAAACCCACTTTCTTACCGAATTAAAAGCGACATCGCCGAGCGTACCGTGGCTTCGGCTAGATACCCAACCGACCAAATAGATAGCTACCGCGTTACCAACGGCCAGCTGGAAAATAAACTTCATCGCGAGCAATCGTCCCGTACCTTTTTACGAGCAACCTCGATTCCCACCTCGTTTCCACGCCACTCTCATTCCCTCCGTGCTCCATTCGATATTTAACCCTTAACTGATTAATGTACTTACTTTTGGATGAGATAATATATATATTTGCCATATTTAATATATGGGATGGGCCAAAAATCACTTCCTACTAAAATAAATTTTTTTATTATATATATATATATATTTTTTTTAAACGTAATGAAGAAATCATGTTTGAGCTTAAATTTAATTTGAAATTAATAAAATTAGTTTTTTTCCGTATATTTTGATGTTTCACTAAAAAAATAGGTGGGAAGAAACTTTTGGTGCACCCTGTATATATATATATATATATATATATATATATTTTCTGGACGAAAAAATCTGAAGACATTAGAATCACATCGGATGTTTTTTTTTTTTTTTGTTTCAGTAACTATAAATAATATAAATATAATATATAGTATATAATATGTATAATAACATTATATGAAAATAGAGGAAAATGCTCTAAATTGACACGAAGATTAAGGAGAACGTAAAAGAAAAAGAGAAAATTAGCAAAGAGCCAATGAGGAGACAATATGCACAGAGAATGCGCGCGCAGCTTTCTCACGCGGCGTTTCTAATGACGTGATGCGATACGACGCGACAAGATCGAAAGTTTTGTACAAGTACGTATTTTTTTTTTTCCACATTCTTTGCGAGCCTTCGCGTTAACCGATATCCTGACGTACGTTCGTTCGAGATCGAAGGAAGGAAGAGAGGAACAGAAACAATTGGTGGTAGAAGATATGGAAGAAACGAGGTTAAATAGTAGGCGCGCGCAAGAGGAGCGGAAATACGCGACCCCGATCTAGCAGGCACGATCATTTCCGAGCTTTACACTTGCGCGCGTCATCGCACGGCCAATCTACGCTTCAATCTCCCATCTATCGCTTTCGATACGTATCGTTTAAACTTTCTAACCTATAAATAGACGCGACGTGTTTCTAATATAAATTTTAGTTTCCACCATTTGTAATTCACTTGCCTCGCATTTGTAATTCGTCTGTTACTTGCTGAAACAACTTACCTTTACCGGATATTCGAAAGTAACGAATTGTTTATTAGCTCGTAACTGCTTAAGACGGGATGTTTGGAACGAGAGTAACGAACACTAATTTATTAGAACCATCATTGTAAAAGTTTTATAAATAATTGTGCAATTTTGTTACTTTATAACAGTGGAACTCGTCGATATCACTGATTTCGGGCTTTTGATTTTTTACAATTGCCTGAACGATTCACAAATTTTCTCAAATTTCAAACTTAAATTTTGAAAAAAAGTGAATACCCATCAAACTGGCGGATCGACTAATTTCACATCTAATAATTCCAATAAATTTACTTTGTTCGTGAAATTATGGCAATAAACATAAAAGTAGTAAAATCGCAATATGACGGAGATATTTTTACTATCTGGCGTCTGATATCTCAAATATCGGCCTTGGTCTTTCACTGCGTTCACTGCCTATATCATATTGTACAATAAATATTTTAATTATAATAAATATTTCGTAACCTATACAATATCGTGCATAATGAAATTTACAAATTAACGACGTACGATCAACTTGCTTCTAAAGTAATTAAATCGACGTTTCGAGGAGTACGCCGGGGCCGTTGTTTTCATTCGGCCCCGTCAATTCGGGACAGGTGTATGAGAAATGCCCCCGTAAACCTAGCGTTAATGAAATTACGTATTCACGCGAACGATCCACGGTGTAATAACGAAACGAGGAGTCCCCCCCCCCCTCACACGTGTATAGGTAGGTAGCGTGCGCGTGAAAACGTTAGAAAAATATTTCTGCCGTCACTCGGATCGATCATGGACGGAGGCGAGGGTCTGAAAGGTTAGAAGAGGAAAACAAAAGTGGTGGCGACGACCTTGACTCCTTTCGGTTGTTGTTCTTAAGAAGAGCGTGGGCGGTGATGGTCGTCGGCGGGGGAACACGTGAGAAGGGCGGCGGTGACGCGACGTATCGGTGTCTTCATCGAAACGGCTTTTACCCCGGATTTGAATAATCCTCGCTCCGGGAAATCCTCTTTACGGCCGATTCTTGCATCCTGTCGTGTAATAGTCCAGCGGGGATCTCGCTAACAATTTCTTCACCGATAACCAATAAGTCTACGTCTGTCTCGAAATCAATCGATCGCCACTGGATTTTCTACCTAGTCTGTTTGCAGGTTAGATGGTTTCTTTTCTTTCTTTCTTTAAATCCAGAATTACACTTAGAAATCAATAAATTCGTTTCTTTTACTCTGGATGATAGTTCAGTGCATTACGTCAATGTGCCAGTGACGCAGGGGTATGACGAAACGTCGTCGGTCCATCTAATTACGACGAGACTATATAGCACGGTGAAAGGCGTTTAAAAAGTCCACGGGCTCTGGCGATAATGTGACGCTGAGTAGAACGTCCTGGCCAGAAGGACTTCTCCATCGGCCAATGCTTTTACGACGCCTAAGGTCGCAGGAATGCGCGGGTAACTACTCGAAAAGTTAATCATATTTCCCATTCGTTTAGACAGCAACGGATCTCGCCATTCGGTGAGAAAATCCCGACAGGGTGAACCGATGTAACTTCTGCAAGATTTTCTCGAAGCCTCTTCTCGCGTGTTAATGCAACGTAGCGAAGAGAAAAAACGATGACAACTGTCTTCTTATCTGAAGATGTCTGCCTCCGGATGGAATTACGCAAGGTGTAACACGTGGTAGCAGATAAGATTAAGCGCGTAATTAACAGGAAGACGATGTAGTTTAGATGGTAACCGTGACACCATTTCACGGACCTTGTCCGTGAATCAGGGAGTGAGACCGGGCCCCTGACCCCATCCCTACGTACCTGCATGGTGGCCCGCGAGCGACGGAGACTGCGATCATCTCCGAAGTTTTACGACGACACACGAGGGCGCAATCGATACCGCGGAGGGGGCGGGGGCCCGTCGTCTCCCCGTGCAGTTACGGTATCTGTCGTACTCCGGCACGAAAATTAAAGATCCGCCAGCGTTACGTTCAGCAAAAAGACGTTGCCCGTAACAGGAAAACGAGTTTCTTCTATCGACATTGTATCTAATTTTAGAGCTTTCCTTTTTCCCTTTTTCTTTTCCTTTTTTTTTTTTTTTTNTTTTTTACAGATTTCCAGACTGCCGAATCGAAGCAAAATTGAGAGACCCTGCGAGACTTCGAGCGCTTCACCGGACACGAAGAGGAGAATATTTCATTGCGTCGAAATATTCAAGCCAGAGTAGCAAAAAGAATTTGTAACAGCTGAGCCTGTTTTAAAGTCAACTACGGATATCGAGTTATCATTGAAATCCAACGCTACGATCGAAAGTTTTTTTTCACTTTTCAATTCGAACGCGGGAAATTTGAATCCAATTGTCGTTAAACTGCCCTGGCGTTTAATCCCGAGGGAGCATTTTTCTATAAATTCCTGATCAAATTTTATCAACGTTCCAGAATGACGAGAAACAATTGGAGAGCGACGGTTGCAGAGCCGTGGTTGCGCTCTTTTCTCTAATTTCCCAACAAGGTAGTTTCCTTTTGGTTAAAAAGACCGCGGTGCTGCCACGATGATCAAAAGGGGAAAGAAGACGAGGACAAAAAGGAGAACGAAACACAGCGTCATAGGGGAGAGAGTCAAAGAATTTTCACTGGTGGAGCGCGCGCAGTACACACACACACACATACTGTGCGCGCGCGAGCGTACAGCAACAGTGTTGGTTTGTTTTCCAGCACGCATTGTGCCCGTCGTTCGTTACGTCTGGCAATTATCTGGCCGCAAGCTCGCGCTGCTTTTAACATTTTTAATCCGCGAAACTTGAGGCTGAACCGCGCAAAGTAACTTTGCCACCATTTTATCTCCTTTTTTATTTTTACCCCACGCCAGAAGAAGTATTCTATAAAAATCAAATTGACATGCCGACACGAGACGTTAGATTTTAGTTAATGCGCGATCATTATCCTCAACAATCGATTATACTCGAGAAGAAAGTGCACACAAACAATCATAAGTTACACAAATAAATTTTGCACGGACAATTTATGAACTCTGAAACATTTTTTTAATTCAAATGTCCAAGCTTAATATTGTCCGACGATAAATCAAATTAACTAATTGACCGTCTATTTATATCTGTACTTGCGGAGCAAATTTCATTTAACGTTCGGCTAGGTTGGCGGTGTTTCGGTATTGTCAAGGATTGTGGAATAACGGGTCGGGACGATTCGAGACGTTGCATGACACCATTGAAAGCAATTCGAGGCATTCGCAGAGGCCATCGGCAACCACTGTCGAAAGGACGGAATTTCGAGGCGCCTCCTGCCGGTGAATCCGATCGATCAGCCGGCCCTGTTTAGCCTCCGACACGCTGAAATCTCCTCGACACTGTTCCCTGATGGATTCGACTGATTACGACTCGTGATAACCGATCTCGTACGTCTCGTCACACTCAGAGACGAGCCGAGAAATAAAAGCTGCGTCCAACGGATGAAAAAGCTGCGAGAAGTCAATATTTCCTGTTGCAATATATTCTAACTACAGAATCACTGACTACAAGTGACGTATAAAATTTGATACTTTCTAATCTGACATTTTTTTTCAAAAATATATATATATATTTTTTTTAAATCGTTTTAAACATATGTTAACATTATGCATGTTGCAATTTCAGGGAAGAAACTGAAATGAAAAAACAATCGAAATCAAAAATAATCACCTACACTGAGTAACTCTGAACGTGAAATTTTTTTTGAAAACATCTTTAACTCTGGAGTTTACGAAAATTTTTCTTTAAAATCTAGACGTCGAAACATTATAACACTAGCTCAGATTAGAACTGACTGTGAGTAAAAGAAAGACGCCGTGAGAAACTCGAGAAGAAAACGTTGGTTCCGATCGAGACGCCGTGACCCTTTCCTCTTCTTCTTTCAACTGTAATAAGCAGGCATTAAAAACGGGCCTGTTCCAAGTGAAACTTTCCAGAAACACACGAACGGGTAGGGATGGATGAGCGAGTATATGTATATGCAACGAAGAAAACGGACCGCGGGACCAGGCGGAGGAAAGAGTAAAAGCAGGTTAGAACGGTAATATAATACGCGAGCGTGTGTATTTACGCTCGTAGACGCGTGTAGAAAGCTACCGTTGCTCGATTTCGTTCAACACTGCTTCTCGTTGCGTTTGTCCCCGGCAACGTTTTAACCTCTTGCGCTGGAATGACAGTGCCAAGCACGTCGAAAATATTTGGCCCAAAATTGCAATGTTTTCTCAGTTTTAAGTCTATTGAAGTATAACCGAAACAAAACAAATAATAAATTTGTTACTTCTATCCAGCGATATACCGATGAATTTAAAAAGGAGATCAATTATTGTATACGGTTTGGTCACTCGTTATGGTCCGCAATCAGTTGCCAGCGCAAGTGGTTAACCTCTTACGCACGTCGAGAATTTTTTGTCACAAAATCGCGATATTTTCTCAGTTTTACGTATATTGAAGTACAACTGAAACAGAACAAATAATAGATTTATTACTTCTTGGTAATTTCTATCCAGCGATACACCGATGAATTCAAAAGGAAGACCAATTATTGTACAGTTGGTCACTCGTTATGGTCCGCGAACCAGTTTACTAGCGCAAGAGGTTAGACGTAACACTCTGAACAATCCTTCGCATTCGTTTCCAAATTTCAACTATCGAAGTAACTCTCTCTCTCGAGAGAGAGAAAGAGTATTGGAGAGAATATTATCCGTTCGTCAAAGGTGTGGATCCTGACCGTTTTATAAATTTACAGATATTCAATGCCAACACGAAGAAATTCTACGAGCAGAATTTTTACCCGTTTTTCAGTGTAGCAAGGCGGAAGTAATACGAAACAATATAAATAATAATATAGAGAAGAAGATGCAGTATGGAATTATCGAGACGATATTATACAGTACGTTAAGAAAAGAACCCTCTAGCGGCCAGAGACGCGACAAGGTGTTCTACGCAATTGACTTTATCGGTAGATCACGGCGTAACGACGTTACAACACTCCGATTAAACTTCTTTGCGTTTTACACGTCGAAAGCGCGCGTAATCGCTCGCTAAACCCCCTTCGCACTGCTATAGATCAGCTCTCTAACTTGTTGGACTTTCTAGTTCACCTGTTCGTGCGGCGAGTTCGTTGCGTCTGTGCTCCTCTGAGAAGACCTACATTACATACATTATTTCTCGAGTACAGAACGGACCTATGTACATACGCTCTGCGCAAGGTCTCACGAGACCTCGGCCATAAACCAACCCACGTAAAAGATTTTCTGCCGCATGCACAGTTTTAATCAACTCGTCAACTTCCAAATTCTTATACGGGCTACTTCTCAAGGTAAGTTTGCTGAATTAATGTAAACAATTGCGTGTAATAAATTGCGTGAAATGAAGATATTGGATTGGAACAGCGAGTTGTATCGTTGAATACATATATAAAAAGTGACCAAATCTGTTTCTTCTAAACAGCAGATGTTGGAAGATTATCTGGAATGTTGAGAAGTTTGTTCTCCCTTGTAGGTTTATTAATTCAAGCCCAACTCGTGTAATATGTTAGAAGGTGTGCTTACTTTACCCAAAAAAAGGCCTGAAATATGATATACTATACTGTAATATAGTATTAAATATATAATATTTAATATAAATATATATATTATATTTAATATAAATATATATATTATATTTAATATAAATATATATATTATATTATACATTATATATTTATATTATAATATAAATATATAATATTTAATACTATTATATACTATACTATATGTACTATATATACTGTATTTAAATGTTCATTTATATATACAGACACGCCTACATAACACACACGTATGAAGACGCTGAACTTCCTGTCATCCAGCAACAATGCAACAAGAATAATTGCGCAAAGACCGTGGAGTTTTGATACGCCAGTAAACCACCAGGGGGAGAGAATTACTTTCGCGAATAATACAGGCAAGAAAGCGGTTATCCGGTGTAATAAAATCGAATGAAAGTTGCGGTCTGGCCAGGGGGATACGGTATCGTCGCCGCGTTGTGGAACGACGCCGGGGCCGATCGATATTACAACGCGCTCCTCTCTTTTCCGAGGGCCGATAATAATTCGGTGTTTTACGATGTTGATCGAGCGTCGACATAATTACGCGGCCGAGCTGGCAGCGTTACGTATGCCTGACGCCCAATTAATGTCGCGGCACCGGCGAATTATCGGCCATCGCGCTTTTTCCCTCGAACTTGTTTCCCTTCCTTCCGGCTCGCCGGGCTCGCTCGACTCCCGAGAAAACAAACTGAAAACATCGTTCCCTCTGCCAGCCCGGCCGGTCCTCGAACGTATTCGTTCCGGGGGCACGTCGTAATTTTAAAAATTGGAAATATCGTCGCGGCAGATTTTCGAGAAATCTTCAGTGTTCGTGGATCGATTTTGGTGTTTCCGTGCAACGTTTTGCAAGACGAGGTTCATCGAGACTGGTGAATTAATACCGTAGCTTTGGCAATGAAATCAAATAAAGTTTCTGCAGAGTGAATGTTACTAATCCTTCGCGCCCCGAATTATTTTTCAATTATCCTCCATTCTCTCATTTTGGCAATTTAAAAATGTGACATCGACACAGAGAGCGGAAATTAGGGTTGATTTTATTAGACATTCGTAATCTGAATCTTGTCACTTTCCAATTTGCCAATGGTACGGTGTGTATATAATTCAAATCACGAGACAAATATAAGAGAACCATGTTCTTTTCTAACGTCAAAGACAGACTTCTGTTATTATTCTGTCCAGAATTCGCACCCGCACAAGTCCACCGGTGGTAAATCAGATGCCGAAGAAGATAATTCTGTCGAGTCATAATCTCGAGTTATCGAGACGATGAACGAAGGAAGCTTTTTGGCCGTGATCGACGTGGGTACGATGAGAAACTTACGTACTAATTGGTCGTGGGGGCAATAAGACACACATAGCTGTGACGGCGGCGAGCGTTTTACGGCGTCAAAGCGAATCCATAATTACATTTGCATCGGCAGGGCGTTCACGTGCGTTCACGTGCGTACTGCAACGCGCGGGAGAGAGAGAGAGAGAGAGAGAGAGAGAGAGAGAGAGAGAAGGGGGGGAGGACTGTGTGCTCTTGGTTCGCTAATCAATCGCGACGACCGACTACTGGCTGCTTCGGCTGCGTTCCCAATTTCTCCTAACTTCCTTATTCAATGCTCTCTTTCCTTTCGTCGAGTGACAGTCTCTCTCTCTCTCTCTGGATTTATTGAAAATATCCATTCGAATATTAGTCTTGAATTCGAAGGTCGATCGTTGTAGGTTAGGATCAAAAAAATGTCTGCAGCATAGGTTAGGGCACTCTAGGAGCATAAAAAAGCGCTTGAAAAATGAACTGGTCGAATCTTGCAATAGAAATAAATAAATAAATAAATATATTTTGCGTTTCCTTTTTGTTCTGATAGTGTGCATTAGATAAATTCCAAAACGCAGAGACCAACGTTAATCCTGTTCCCTCTGACCTAATGAAATGGCCAATGAAGCAGATACGCGCGCAGATCGTTATGCACGAGGTACGGATTAAACAGGGAAAGGATTAAAACTTCAGGGCGATACCAGCTTGATACTCGGGCTACGAACACTTTTTTAAGCATTTTTCGTGCTTTAAATATTAGAGTCTAAATGTGTTGCCGCGTGTACGTGATGCGACAGCTCGTTTGGGACTGCACTGCCTCGCGACGACTAGTGGACGTTGGACCTAATGCCGCGTTCACACTGCTGTCGGCGAGCGTGTTCGCCAACGGCATTGCGGAAACTTCACCGAGCTACAACAGCCGTATAATTCGTCCGGTAAGCGATACGTTAAAGAATCTGTTGACGAGGGCAGTGTGGGTTTGCAGTTTTTGTTGGCAATTCTGTCCAGTGTAAACCCAGCATTATGCGTCTGATGCTAATCGCCCCCTAGGAAAACAAATGCACTGTAATGTAATAATACAACATGCTAACGTATTAACAGAGTCCTTGTTTTATGAAGTATGTTCTATATTTATTGTATTTATTATAAATATATTATATATATTGTATTATTTTATTTATTATAAATTTAAATAAAATTTAATATATTATATATATATTGTATTATTTTATTTATTATAAATTTAAATAAAATTTAATATATTATATATATATATATTGTATTATTTTATTTATTATAAATAATTATTTTATTTATTTATAATATCGTATTATGTATTTATTGTAAATATAACTATTGTACGTAACTTATTTATTATATTGTATTGTGTATTTATTGTAAATATAACTTATTGTACGTAAATACCATAGATGTAAATTTATTGTATATAATTCATGATTCGTATTTATTGTTCTATTTCTATTGCACAAACAGTGTCTGAAGATTTCTGAACGGGTACGTCAGCTTGAAGGCAACACAGACGTAAGCAAACCAGCGTCGGAAAATCCGTATCGCTAGAGAAAATCCCCCCCCCCCTCCGGACGTCTCGAAACGCCTTAAAAACCAGGACAAATCCGGGAAAACTCGAATGGATTACAATCCTATCGAGTCGCACGATAGGATCTGTTAAACGGAGGTATGATAAGCTTGCAGAGCATGATCAGTTAATTCTCGAAGTGCCAGCCGATGTGTTACTTTCTCATCGATTTTAAATATCGTTGGCCTTCGCGGAGATCCAAAGACACAATTGTCAAACAGAGAGTATTTCATTCGAATGGCGAACGAACGAACGTCGTTTCTCAATTTTTTGACGCATTTCAAGCTTATTCGACCCTTCGAGCGTTTCGTTTCATTTTGAGAACGTGCACTTGCGTGGTTAATTATTTTCAAGTATAGCGACGAGTATACTCGACAGAGGCAGAGCATTCGCTGTGAAATTGAAATGAATCGTGATAAAGCGACGAAAGTTTTCAGTTGTTCTCTTTCAAATCGTATTTTATTATTTCGTGGTATTACGTCGTATAATTACAATTGATTGGCAATTGTTTTTTGTATTCTAAAATTGTGTTGAAATCACGAATGTATGTTTCTTGTTTTGTCTAAATTTTACTTTAATAGCAAATACGAATTTTTTTTTTTTTACTACATGACGTAAACATCGAAAGAGCTTAATTAAAGCAAAAGAGAATGAGTCCTAACGTGATCACTGTGTCCTGACAGTGACTAATGTTTTGCAATCGGGAGTCAAGTTTGGAAGGGCTCTATTTGAGAAAACAATGTGACTCACGTGAAACGTGTAGTCATCCTATGTTATAGAAATCGACATTCCAAACAAATTCGTTTCTCCACGTATAAACGTCGGACAGGCTTAGTTTTCGTAATATTTGCAAAAACATTGTCGAGTAATTACGTTTCTCAGCACGACTTTTAAACGCGTAGAGATCAACATTCTAAACAACTGTTGTCTCTCACGGAAATCTCAGCGTCCCTTAGTCCCCGAGATATTCGCAAAAAACTCGGTCGGTACCACCACAATGATATTTTGCCTATACTTGTGCGTCCATCGAGGCGTCTTCGTTAAATAGGGGTTCTCAATCTCAGTGAACCCGACTAATCCAATCTCTCATTTTTTGTCGCGTGTAGCAAGTACAATCGACTTGCAATTTGTGGGGAAGTAAATATAATTGTAACAGTGTCAATGATACACGTTTTAATGTATCAATTGTCAAGCGAATCTGTCGACAAAGAAAAAGTAGAATCATGCTATTGGGCTGTGTTTCTGGAGTGTCGCCTCTGTACAGATCGCTGATAGCAGACCGCAAACGATACGGTCGAAAGATATGAGTTAAGTTTGGTTTAGTTGATTTTATCCGGCCGCAGTAAAGCGGTCGGCAACCGATGATACTAACGGATGCGCCTTTCACGGACGCGCAAGTACAGGCAGAACGTCACTATAGTTGAACGTCAACATAGTTCCTTGCGAATATTTCCTCGGTGAAACTCGACGAGAGTTCGACGAAATTTTTTTAAATCGTAAATCGAGAGAATGTTGATTTCTATAATGTATTTGAAAATCGTCAGAGCCCCGCACCAAGGACGTTGCAGCTGTGTAATTACCAACTGTCGATATCACGATAATGAATTCTGTTCTGTGCGCCCGTGGCAGCGTGTGTGTGTCACCAGTGATTGTCAGCCATCTTATAACGACCAGACAAAAAAAATACACAAGTGAACTCAAACCCAATTCTTATCTTTTGTTTACGTAAATACTATTTCGATCAGGCAACCAATACTGACGCACATGCCATCGCTAACGCATCTGCGAGTCGAGTTTATTGCGATGGTGTTGGTAGACAGTTTTTGACAAATATCTTGGAAAACTAAGCGAGTTCGATATAAAAGTTGTCCAGAAGATTTCAGCAATTCCATATATTTATAAATAAATATTTATATATAAAAATAAATATTTTTCATAATATTTAGAAATCAATATTTCAATATATTTAAAAATCATCGAAATCAGAGAGAACATAACACATATGGTGAATTGGCCATCGAAATATGTGTCTTAAGACAAATTAAAAAATTTCAGTAATAGTTTTTATAAATTTATTTATAGTTTCTCTAAAGATATTTTTACAAACTTTTGGTTTGTAAACGGTCTGTGTAAGGGTATACGAGTGTATAACAGAATTATTTTTTTGTTCCTCTTCGTCGACATAAGGATACAATAGTAAGATAAGTTGCAATCTCTTTCACGATTGATCCGCGTGTATAAAGACAGCGAAAAGCGAAACGATTCTATAGAGCGTGTTTCTATGTGCCGGCGAATTCGAAGCAAGTTACACGCCCTCGGGTTACGCCATTGACCCAACTTCGGAACCCTCGTTTTCATTAATCCTTTCAACGTAACCCCTCTCACCCCGGCGGCTGCTCGTCAACCTTTGTGGACGACTCATTTATCCATCGATTTGACACGACACGGTGTATAAATAAATCATCAACCCCCTCTCAGAATTTCTCATTCGATACAATCGTTTTACTTTTTTTTTTCTTTTCTTTTTTTTGTTTTTTTTTTTTTTTTTTTTTTTTTTTTTTTTTTAATAACCACTTTTCTCGTCGTTTCCCGATTGGAAAAATTCGAAATTTTTGAGGAAACTGGAGAGAAGAGTTTCGAAAGAAATTCAAACGTGAAAACTCGATATTTGACAATTTGTTCTTCAACATTATCCTCTTTGTTAATTGTGAGGTTATGTTGCCAGCGCAAGTGGTTAAACCTCTAACGCACGTCGAGAATTTTTTTGTCCCAAAATTGCAATATTTTCTCAGCTCTAAGCATATTTAAGTATAACCCAGGCAAAACAAATGACAAATTTATTACTTCTTAGTATTTTCAATCCGGTGATATACCGATGAATTAAAAAAGAAGACGAATTATTGTATACGGTTTGGTCACTCGTTATGGTCCGCAATCAGTTGCCAGCGCAAGTGGTTAATCTCTAACACACGTCGAGAATTTTTTTGTCCCAAAATTGCAATATTTTCTCAGCTCTAAGTATATTTAAGTATAACCCAGGCAAAACAAATAACAAATTTATTACTTCTTAGTATTTTTAATCCGGTGATATGCCGATGAATTCAAAAAGAAGACGAATTATTGTATACGGTTTGGTCACTCGTTATGGTCCGCAATCAGTTGCCAGCGCAAGTAGTTAAATCGACGCGGCACACGGTAGGGAACACGTGGCGAGAAGGTGAGGACGGTCAGCGTTTATTATGTCGGTGTTATGCGCGCGTACACACTGACAGAGAGGAGGCGGAGTTGCAAATCAATAACTCGTGTTATAAGGCATTTGGGCATGCCGAAGATATCGATTATGTAGCATAGTCGACACACACAAGAGCTGTCTGAAGACGATGGCCACGCGCGTAAGCTGGAACGCTATCCCGTGTAAATTAGGATGAACGCCTGCCTGCGTCGAGTAGATTGTGAGCTGATTGGCAAAGTAATGCAGGCCGGCCAACATTATACTTTGATATTTGACCACGACTGAATATATACGCATATCCACCTACTGTTAAGAATTATCATTAATGAGTCATTAACGAGACGATGAACCATGGATACAAACGTTAATCGAAAGAATAAATTTACAGACTTAACGAAACGCAAATCAACGAGGCACGAACCATGGATAGAAAAACACACTGAAAGAATGAATATGCTATTCGAGTTGAAGATAATCTTCCTGGCATATAGTACACAAGTACGAAAATATAGCATGAAAGGACATCGTGTTACCGATAAAAAAGAAACGAGGGGCGCTACAGCGGGTAAAAAAGAGTGGGGGAGTTGGATCAGCGGTAAAGTGTCACTCCGGAAGTCCGGTTAGGTTAGTGGTTGCGTACACAAGAGCTTGGCTTGATAAGTGGCACGAGCGGGGAGGCACTTTTTTTTTTTTTTGTAAATCTTTTCTCAAGGACTTTCTTCTTCTACCTCTCCCCTTCATTATTTAATTACACGAGACTTGTTAATCGGCGCGTCGAATATTTTCTTACACTTATTCTACGTTCATCGTGAGAAAATATTGTACGAAATTTTGAAAAGAAAAAGAAAAAAAAATTTTTTTTTTCTTTCTTGGAGAAAAGAGTTTAGAATTTAGAATTCTGCGCGGAGTGTTTCGTAGTGGCAACTGTTCGCTAATTTGCAGCATGGTTTCGCAGCACAGTCACGAAGACGCCTAGGATAATAGTAAAGTTGCAGGGAGTACATATAGCGTGTGTTGCTCGGCGCAGTGGAAACAGCCTTGCGGCTCCACTTTCCATTACGTCGCCGCAGGATGAGGCCTTCACCGGCCTAGCTACATTTCGGCCTCCGTTTTCTTTCTCTCATTCTTTCTTTGTTTCTCATCGACGAATCTTCTTCTCCATCGATTCGATTAGCTTACTATTGCAGAGTTATTTAGCACTTTTATATATATAGTAATTATTTAAAGTCAGATTTGTATAAATAATATGCAAAGTGCAAATAATGC